GCCCATTAAACCGCTGCAGGCATGATTCCTGATTCTGTTCAGCTTGATCCTCTCATGGACACATTCTCCATCAAGAGTTCTGTCCAGAAAAGAAACCAAAGCTTCGGCCTTTCACAGAATTCATTGTCATTACTTTGAGCAGGGCTGGCATTCACCATCTGCCCTGGTACAGCCACATTTGTGTTAAAATGTAGATACACTTTTGTGCCTGCAGCTAACCACCTGACACACCCAGCAGCCCTGCATGACCCATCAACTAAGAAAATAATTCCTACCCAGCAGGAAGTCTCCAGACACCACTGCAAGGAAAAGAATGGCTTCCTTCTGATGTTTACCATCACACCTGCCTTTGAATAACACATTATAAAGATGCACAACTGCAAAGCAGCTCTGCCTTTTAGGAAAAGGATGGATTAAGTATTCAAGCAGAATAATTAATCGTTTATTAATTAATTACCTTATTCTTGAAGCTCCGTAGCACTTTGGCCTACACCAATCATCAAATCTACCCCCAAAGGATAAAACTTTGCTGTCTCTAAGGGTTTAGAAAAAATATGGTGCCAGTTCCAATGGCAGTTTTAAACAACAGTTCCCAAAAATGATTTCATATAAATTTATTTTTGTACCAGAAATCAAACTCAGGACCCTGCATTTGCCAGGCAGGTACTTATGCCACTGAGCTGTATCCCCAACTCAAAAATGATTTCAAGTAACAATGGCATCATTGTGATAAGTGTATATCACAAGGGAGGTGGAATGTTTTCCCCTATGTGTATAAAAATTCAGGGAAATTTCAATACTGCTGATAACATAAATGTTTATTAATTTTTAGATGTGATATGATTCTAAGTTATGCTGTGAAGGAGCTCATTTTAGAGATAAACCCTGAGAGATTTACAGATGAAACTTATGATTTATTTGTTTCAAAAACAATCTAAAGAGAAGAGGAAAAGGGAGCTGGGGACTGGTGATAGGACTAACGGCTGTATTCACTGATCTCTGCAAATATTTGAAAGTCTTTAATGTAGAAAGTGCAAACTTGTTTCCCATCAATCTATACCTCCTGGCCTCCCCTAGTAAATGCAAGAAATCTGAGAGCTTCTTAGGTTAGGGCATGAGCAGACCTAGAAGGATTCACAGTCTAAGAGGTTGCTGTGGACGGTCCCTTACTTCTGCTTTGTTTTCTGCCTGAGTTGTACATAATCAGCAGCTCCCTCAGCACGTACACACACACACACACACACACACACACACACACACACACACACCCCTTCCCAAACAAGCTAGACAGTGTCTAAACATAACAGCATGTTGTTGTAACACTGTGAGGTCCTGGGAAGAAAGGTGCGACATCGCTGCTGTTGTCACAGAGCTTGCACAGAGTGTTGTGTGACGTTCAGTTCAGATGGCTCAGGAGTCCAAGAGTCCCCGCTGTACTTTCAGAAACTACCTCACTCATAGTTCTCCACACCAGCTGAAAACAAACACCCCGCTGCCTGCCACATGGGAGGCTTTTAGCAGTGCCACTGAGTCCTCACACAAAGCCCTTGTTTGTGTGTGACAGATGATCCTACACGCTTCTCATCTCCCTCCTCCCTCTTTCCCTTCATTTGTTCCCCTCTGTTTCTTTGTTCCTCTCCAATTCTCCTTTTCTCTCATCCTCCTCTGCCTCCTACCACTTTTCTGAACTGACTCAAGAGCCAGCAAAAAGGATGAAAACAGACAGCAAACCAACACTGACGAGACTGGGTTTGCCATAGCTGGCTGCCTGCACGTGGTGGTGTCCACTTCGGATGTGTATTTGAAGACAACATGTAGGGAATTGGTGCAAACATTGAAATATCCATACATATGCTGCATTCCTGGTCTGCACGGGTTGCCTTCTCTGAAGAAACAGCACAGACACACACGTGCATGCATACAAGCGTATGTGCATACACACACATGTTCCTTCTAGGCTTGGCCACTCTCAAAGTCCCATTTGCTGCACTGAGCATGGTCTATAAACCTGCTGAGCAAGGAAAGTGTGAGGCTGAGATACGTGAGGAACTTGATCCATATGCAAGGCTAGTTCTGCCCTCTGTGACCTGGGCAAGCTGCCTAGTGCTATGAGCATCTGTCTCTTCTTCAGGAAAGGGAAATCATTAGAATACATGGATTTTCATTAGAGCTTTGCCATCTCAAATACCTATAGTAAAACATACCATGCCTTAAAGAATTCTCCAGTGAATCTACCCAATGCTCAAATACTCAGGGGGAGCAAGAGAAGATCTGTAGAATAGAGGTCAAGTCAGTGATTAAGGTATGTTGTGGCCTGTGTCGTAGCAGAGCAGAGTAGTTGGGGGGAAAGGAAAAAAGGGGCATTAAATTCAGCCGGGAAATGTAAATAGGGTCAGGGAAGGGGATCCAAAGTAAAAGGACTGACATGATAGATCTAAGCAGCAGTCAGAAGCAAGATTTGGCACCTGCCAAGATGTCTAGAAGAAAGGCAAAAGAGCAAAATCGGGTAAAGGCGGTCACTTGAATCCATTCTCAGGTCATCCCAGGCATGCTTCAAACACGACTTTATCCAAGAAGAGCCCTGATGTGACTTGTGCTTTACGCCAGGATAACAGCTATCCTCCATGACTACCCCACCCCCAGAAAAGAAGGAGTAAAGACTCACGTTCAAAAACATGAAGTCGCTATTTAAGCAGTAACAGCTACAACTGCTAATGCTTAACTCTAGGATTTATTACCAATTAGAACTACAAATCTTGCTTACTTTGGCTCCTGGAAAGTTGATTTCATTGGGGGGTCAGGAAGAAATTGGGAAAAAGTCATTTGAGACAAAGAGGACGAAATCCAGGCTACATACTTCAGAATCGAAAAGAGCAAGTATCTCGAGTGCCAGAGTTAGGAAGCAGGCTTGATGTGTGGTTCTAAGCAAACAGCCAAGTGGATGTCACAGTGCACCAAAGTCAGAGGAGCCAGTGCCAATCAGAAGAGGCTGTTCAGGCCTGAAGGAGGTTCCATAATCGAGTGGACCCCAGCATCCAGGGCACAGCACGGCCCGAGTGTACAATGCAGAATATGCAGCAGGCTTAGTTTATCTAGGCTTCTCAGTCTCGACTGAATAACCTGAAAAGCCTTATAAACACACCTGTCCTTGGGCTGCACAGAAAACCAATCAAATCAGAATCTCCAGCCGTGGGTGAGGCACGGGTATGACAGCCAAGATTTAGAATCACCACTTATTTCATTTCAACCTCAAGCAGCCCAACATTATAGGGTTGAGCTAACTGTCCTAGGTTTACAGAATAAAAATCTGGGAGGCTAATGGGGCCAGAGTACCACAGCTAGAGGTGAGATTGGAACCCAGAGCCCGCACTCATTCATTGTGCCCTGTGGTCACCAAGTCTTTGCTTCTCGGCTTTCCAGGGCCTGAATTTCATGGGTTTTTTCAAAGTGAGAATGAAGGCCTTATATGATTTTTGTACATTATTCCAAAAAAAAAAATTGTGGAGATGAGACACTAGCCCCTATGAATGCTACACATTACTGGGAGGATGTCTTTCCTTTAGATGGAATGACAGCAGCGGAAAGAATTTGCCCTTGTGGGCTGGGGACGTAGCTCAGTGGTCTAATACCTGCCTGGCGAGCTCGAGACCCTGAGTTTGATTACTGGTTCCAGAAAACAAAAAAGAATTTGCCCTGGAAATTTCAGGCTCATCAACAGTTCATTTAACAGACACTAAGCACTAGTTTTCCACAGTACAAAAAATGGAACACAATGAGCCTCAGTGGAGGCAGGTGACAATAAAGTGTTATGAGAAAGTAGAAATATACAGTTGCTGATCCATAAATATTTAACCCAAGGCAGAAAATCCAAATTCCTGGCTGGCAGCTATAGAAGAGTCATGAATTACATGTCAGCAGGGAAGGTAGGGGCTCTCATGACCCAGAAGGCCTGAGTCCTGTCTAAAGAAGCAGCAGATTCTCACATCTGGTGAGAAATTCCCACACAGCAATGCGGGTACAAGGTTGTTAGGCTCTTCAGCTTTAGGGGAAGCTATAAATACAGGTTGCTTAATGCAAGATCTCTCCTTGTAGGGCATTTTTCTTCTCCTTCTCCTTCTCCTCCTGTTCCTCTTGCTCATCCTCCTCCTTCTCCTCCTTCTTCTTCTTTGCAGTTTCCTTTTTTAAATTAATTGCATTTATTGGTACATCTTAGGCATACATAATGGTCACATTCATCTTAGGAAATTTGTGCCTGATATTGATACAACTTGATTCTTTTTTTTTTTCCATTCACCTATCCCCCCTTCAACCCTACTTCTCCTTCTAATTTATTTTTTCTTTCTTTAAATTTCATTTTGTGATTTTTTTTTAGATTTTTTATTTTAAAAACAAACAAAAAAGGATAAAAATAATACAAAATTTGAAAAACAAAAAATAGGAAATTAACACTAGTTAATATATTGTATATTGCTATCTTGAAACTATCGTTCAGATTACAAGACTTAGGCATGAAAAAATGATCAGCAGTCAGACAATGAAAACACTATTCTTTTTGATGAACAGAGTTTAGTAGTATAGTATCTATTTTATATATATTTGCATACACACATATGTAGACGTATGTATATACAATCTTTTCCCTCCTTTCTTTTCTCCTTTCCCCATTCCAAGTTGTTCTTTCCTTTTGTTTCCATTTTTCCCTTTTTTTCTCATGATTTTTTTCTTTCCTCTTCCTTCCTTCCCCCTCCCCCACCCCTATTTCCTTTTCCCATTTGAACATTTTTTATCTATTTCACAATAGATAGAAATTTTTAAAATGCCATCTAATTCAAGCCTTTTCCGAACACTATGTGGGTCACGGAATACACGTGGCACCCACTGTAGTCTGACCGTCCAAGGTGACCTCGCGCAGTCCCCAGGTCCCGCAGAGCTGCGTGTTCACCGTGCCTTCCCCCACAGGTGTGCTCAGAGCTGCGTGTTCACCGTGCCTTCCCCCACAGGTGTGCTCATTTACTTTGGGTACGGCATCTGGAACAGCACCCTGGAGATCAGCGCCCGGGAGGAGGCCCTGCACCAGAGCACGTACCAGCGCTACGACGTGGACGACCCCTTCTCGGTGGAGGAGGGTTTCTCCTACGCCACGGAGGGTGAGAGCCAGGAGAACTGGGGCGGGCCAGCTGAAGACAAAGGCTTCTATTACCAGCAGATGTCAGATGCGAAGGCAAACAGCCGGACAAGTAGCAAAGCGAAGAGCAAAAGCAAACACAAACAGAATTCAGAGGCCCTGATTGCAAATGATGAGTTAGATTATTCTCCAGAGTAATCATAAAATCGCAGAAATGGTGATTGGTTTTCAGCAACTTCACTTGTGGGCTAGAAGGTGGACACATTTTTTCACTCATTTCCCCAAAGTCAATCCTCAGTCATAGCCTATCACTTGCTATTTTTGCTTGTCAGAATGGTTGTAAAGAAGGGTTAATCCAGGGCTCCTAACTGGTCCCTTTATGAAAAGAATAAACAGGATACACGAATTCCATCTAAGGGGCAACCAGTGAGGCTGAAGGTAGCAAATTTGCTTTGTTAGTTGAATTCTCTTGCTTCTTACTGTGACCCCAAGAAGCAAGGGGCAAGCTTCTCCGCCCCACAGAGGCTGCAGCTCCTTTGGAGTGCAACAGAGCAGGTGGGTGTGGGCAGTGTTTCAGTCACCTGAGAGCACAGAGGCGCGTCAGGTGAGCGCCCCTCCCAGGTCAGAGTGAGCAGGCAGGGGTCAGTGCCTGCTCCGTAAACAGACTCACTCACCCCCAAAACACCATAGAGTGGACATGCTTCCTTTTTTCACCCATGTTCTCTCAGTTTCCAGTGTTTTAGGGTCCAGCAAAAGCAAGGACCCTCCGACTACTTCCCCAAAAGTTTCAAATCCAAACCCAATAACACGGTAAGAACACCATCAAGGCTCTACTTAACTGCTCAGAAAAAATTAAATAGCCATCTCTTACCACGAAGGCTGGAAGGGCATTGGCAGAAATTAACTACCTGTCAGATCTTCCCTTATACCAGACTCTGAGCTCCTGCTGATAGGATGACAGAGGGCAGAGGTGGAGCATGATTTCATGACACTAATATGCCTTGAAGAAGTCAGTCATTTGTTTTTATAATCAGATAAAAATCTTTGCAAGGAAAAGTGACCCAGTCACTCAGATCACATTGCAAATTCTACTTCATATTTCTAAAATTATAAATTCTGCAGGCTTTTTTTTTTTTTAAAGACATGCAACCACTTGATTGGCGGGTCCTACCTTGAAAAAAAAAAATGTTGAAGCCCTGCTACTTAGGTAATTACATTCCATGAGATCACATTTCACCTCTGAACCTTATGCCTTTAGCATAGCTTACGTTTTTAAGAATCTTTTCCTCTGTTATTTCCCAAAGCAGTTTCACTGAAGCCTAGAGAAATATCTGCCTGATAAGGTCTAAATTGGGGCCATAAGAAGGATTCTTAAAAGAATTTTCTCTGAAATAGGATAAACAGGGAAAAACACATGGGCTATAAATTCTACTGTTGGATTTCAAGGATTCCCACTGGCATGCATGTGAAAACAGTGATTTTAATCAAGCTAAGATCTTTGGGAAAATATTCTGGAAGGGGACAAACAGCAAATTTCTTGCCTTCCCTCTCCTCAATTTATCGTCCTGCCAAAACTTGTCCAAAATATATCACCTCTGAACCTATTTTTTCTTAAAACTTGGGGCTGAGGCCTTGGCAGAAGAAATAAAGTTCATTTTTTCATTCAATTACTAGTAAGCAGGCCTAGTAACGGAAGGGCATGAGAAGAAATATGTCTGCCTTTCTAGTCCACTATTCCAGGAGGAAAAACCCCAGAGCCTGTGAAACAAACCTAAAACAACCAAACTTGACACGTCCTCATGACTGGGCTTCAACACAGCACGTAAAAATCAATTGAAAGTAGGTTTTTTAAAAATATGCCTTTAAATAAATTGTGTATCATGCCCACAACCAATGTCTACCATTAAATTCAAACAACTATCATTTTAAAGATATTTTGTATCCCTCCATATTAACTGTTTATTAACTGGCTTTGTGAGTACATTTTGTCATTTTTGTGTTATGTTTGATGATGCTGTGATTTCTCTTCCCTAAATGTAACCGTACAGATACAGGGCCTGGTCTGTGACATGTGTCCTTGAGGATTAACTCTAAGATAATTATTAGTAATCTTTGGGAAACAAAGTTTTAAACTGTTTTTAAGACTGAAGAAATCTGACCCAATACAATCTGCTAAGCTTACCACACAATCTAGATAGATGGGGTGGAATTATATTAAACATTAAACATGTTGAAGAAAAACATGAATGCAAAATAACAAAAACAACATGGGTAAAGGAGTTTCCTTTTAACTATGAGGTTTTGGTCTTAAAGTTGCTAGTCTGATGGCAGGTTGTGTGTTTCTATAGGAGGAAGAACACATGCTTTAGCTAACACCACTGGTGTTGTTCTTGTGTGGGTCCTATGAGCCACTCTCATTTTGAAAACCATTTTGTCCCAAACAGTATCTTTATGTATTTTTAAGCTTTCCTCTTTATTTTTTAAAGGTGATGGGTCATCTCCCTAGCAACCTTGGGTTTTAAAAAAGTCAACATTGCAGGCCAAGTTTTTCACAACACATTGACATATTTTTTCTCATATTTCTCATTTTGAAAAATAGTTACAGATTTCACCATGGAGTTTTCAAATACTGTCAATAATTGGGATAATTATATTAGAGTGATTCGAACAGATTTCTAAATATTATGTTTGCGGGACTGCATTAAAAATAGATCTGTACATAAGTAATTACAGTGGTGCCTCAATTCAGAAACTTAATTCGTGCCACAATTCTGGTCACAAACCGAATTGGATGAAAATCAAATCAAGTTTCCCCATAAGGTCAGCATTGAATCTACCCATTGAATTTGATTTGGTTCTCACCCAGTTTGGTTTGTGACCAGAATCTTGGAAATAATTAAGTTTGTGAACTTAATTCTTAAGTTTCTACACATGTCTTAGAAATTTAACCCCCTTAATGAAGCCCAAGAAAGATCTACATTTTATTGAATTCTTCTGTAGGGCAATAACTTTTCTTAAAATTTCAGTGTGTGAAATTGGTGGCTTAGAACCAACTGAGTTTTTAAATTTTTATTCTATTTACTTATTGATTCTCTGCATCAATTTAAAAAGATCTGAGGTAACCATTAAGTTATATATGATCCAAAAAAATTAAATGAAAATTTCAATAAAAATAGAAATAGGATAAGGCAAAGCTGGAAGTCTGGTTAGTGCAGAAATGCAAAAGTTTAATATGCTTTGCTAAATCTGTCAATGAGGGGGCACCTTAAAAATAATGAAATCAGCAGTAGTGACAAAAAAATACTGCTGCATGATGCAAATGAACCTTTTCCCATAAGAGCAGAAGACTGAAATAGCACAGATATTGAAGATAAGCCTCAAATCTATATTTTAGTAGCTACATGCGCCTCATATATAGTGGGTATTCAATGACTATCTAATGATTGGATGGATGAATGGATGAATGAATGAATTGGGAAGAAAATGAAGCATTTGTTCACCAGTTATTCAGAGTGCCTACTACGTGCTATGGCATATTTTTATATAACAATAAGTAAAATAGAACTCCAGCTCTTAAGAAATAAAGGGAAGTAGGATATATAAACAAAATGCAAATAGTGTGGGTGAGATAAGAGATGGCGTACTACAGAGGCGCAAATATGGAGAAGACTTCCTTCGGCTGTAAAGCCTGCAAAGGACAGAGTTCTGTTCATCTGCGTGAGTCTGTGGAACGAGCAGATCCTTACTAAGCAGAAATGAGAGAAAGGTATACCGACCAAAGGATGCGTCAGGTGCGAACTGTGGGTGGCAGCTGTTCTCTGACTAATCTGTACTGTGCTTGCTTGGAGGGGAAACAAGGAGATAGTTTATACCCGATGTATGCATGGAACAGTAGGAAATCGTGCTAGGATGATGGCTAGTTGCACATCAAACTGGCTCGCTTTGCTTGGGTGGGAAGACACTAGGGACCTGATGGAAGTGGATTAGAGAAGGCTGGACTTGAAAAAAGGTGGCTTTCATTGTCTGTACATGGTACTAACAGCTCACATGCACACTCCAAGTTGATTTAACATAGCAAAGGAAAAAGTATTCATACGTAAAAGCAAATATGTGATTCTTTTTGAATCCTATATCTGATTTCATCACTAACCAAGGAAAAACAGTCTTAATATATGGACACACATCACAGAGTCATTTACAGCTACTTTTAAAAGTTTAATAGAAAGTTTCAACAACAAAATTGCTTGTATCTCTCTAAACAGTAAAACCTCAGTTTCCAGCTTTACTAGGCTTCACTGCTAGACCACTTTAAAGTAGTGACAGAAACTGAAAAACACAGCTAGGTGAAAAATTCAGTTCTGCTTCAAATCAAATGTCTGAATCATAGTCAGGATGACTCACGGTTTAAAATTTAAATAAAAGGAGGGATTGTGAGGAGGGAAGGGAGCTGCTGAATTTAACAATCTGTCCCCTAGAATGTATGAATCAGTCCAGATACAAATTCACTAATTATTAGAGAACAAAATGCAAAGGTCTTTCCTCTGTTCTGCTGAAAAGAGCTGACAATTGGACATCCTTGAAACCGTGCTTTGGAGAGCCTGCCTCTTCTCTACATGGTAAACAGAACCTACACCAGGTTGAGAATCACATAGAAGGCTGGAGGAAATCACCATTCCCCCTGCCATCAGGTTTTACCAAGAGAGCTGAGATGTCCCTGCAAAGTCTGTAAGTTAGCCACAGGAGTGCATACTTTTGTGTCTCAGACTGTGTACAGAAGTCAGGCATGAGGAACTGTGTCTGAGGCCAGAGCTTGAGTCTGCTCATCTGGGGGAAGCGAATGGTCCACTCTTGGATTAAAGCCTCAGGTTACTGGGCAGTCCAGAGACCCTTAATTTTCTATAGGAAGGGAGAAGGGAAGAAAGCAGAGCAAATGCATCCCAAACTTCACTACTTGGGCCATGCAACATGATGTTCGCGACAAGGCTTGATGGGGGTCAGGGGAAGCATGGTTTCATGGTACTTCGGCTCCCCCACCTCAGATGTACTGCTCTAGCTTTGAGGATTTGTTTGCTGAGACCGTTTGGAGACCTTAAGAGTGAAGCCCCAGCAGGTAACCAGTGGTGGCCTGGCCATGAAAGAGCAAGGATTTGTACTTACGCAACCCATGAGCACGGGCATAGCATCCCAAACCACAGTCCCCCGCAGGAGCAGGGGCCAGATGCTGCCTCCCGAGGGTCATCTTTGCGTTCCTCAGTTGGAATGTGACAGGTGGTACAAAGTCCCTTTTGTGGACAGAGTTGTTAGTTCTGTGTCCACTTTGCTTTTCTCTAAGATTTTAGAGGAGAAGCTGTTGAATTGGTGTTCCCCCTCCTCAGGAAAGCTTCCTTTTGGAAATGCTTTTCTCATCTTGTCTTGTTCTTCTTAACACATGCGCCCTTCTGAAACACTGAGGCAGTTGCCTTTTGCCAAAATTACTTCTCTACAAAATACAGAATGTCTTCTTTTTTTAAGGACTTAAAGCCCAAAATGGATCAGTGGAAGTTTTGAAACCCATCAAAAGTGAATATGTATTTTGCAGTATCAACTAAAATAGCATCAGAAATCATAAAACAGCGTACCACATGCATGGAATTACACAACCCACACAGGACTTGCATAAAGTTGGCTGGGGCTTGAATTTTCCAGATAGCAGGTAGCTCTAATTTCTTACTCTTTGAGAACATTTAGTGCATGTTGGTATACACCAGGAAAGACTTAAATGGCTTTATATTAGAACTGGAAAACAAGGGCCGCCTTGTTTTTTCTATTGAGGACTTCCTTTGCACTTTTTGTTGGTTGGTTAGTTCTTTTTTTCTATTAAGCTTTCCTGGCACTGACACTGATGACACTGGCTAAAAGAAATTGTGGTTCATGTGAATTTCTTGAGAAGCGCAGATTTCCAAGGATTGTTCATTCTGATATTGGGATGAGGAAACTATTCTGTGCACACTTACTGATTGACCTTGGCAGTTGCTGATATACCTTTCTCACAGTTCTGAAGTTGAGAATTACCCTGGAATTCATGAACCCCCACTTTCCAAAGCAGAGACACTGTCTATGTTACACGGCGCCTAAATACCTCAAGTGTCGGGCTGAGAGAAGGGGCTGAAAGACTTTTCAGAGAGCAGTGACAGTCCTCATCCCATGGAGTCATACCATCTGACAACAGGACTCAACCAACGCTCTAGTTTTTCTCACTGTGGAAAAGAAATGTTACTGTTGCATTCACATCCAAAGTTATAAATAACAGCTCATAACTTTCACTAACTTGTTTCCCTTTTGTTTTGGTCCTTGAGAAGTACAACTTGCATTTTGCAGATGGTAATTGCTGGTGTTGTTCTGCTATTTTGTTTTGTATGAACTTGCTGTATTTGTTAAAGTTTGTCTGCTTTGTGGTTTTTAATTCCCATTGGTGCACTGTACAATGGGGTATTGTAATGTATTATGAAGAAAGAAATAATATTCAGATGTATTATGAAGTGTATTTTATTTTCAAATGACTGTGGTGTTAACAATATATTGATTTATCAAAAGTACTAAGGAAAAATTCTAAATTTACCAGAATCTGTATATTTTAATAAATGCATAAAGCTTTATTGTGTGCCTTTAAATTTAAAGATGAGTTTATAAAGGTCAGAAACAAAAATGTCTTACTATAAAATATCCACAGTAATGTAAAGCTTTTACACAGGAGACTACAGAAAAGAGAAGAAAAAAGATCAAGGTGTTTCCCATAGTATATTAACCTTGACTCGTACCTGAAGTCTGTTACTTTTCTTCCATTTTAAAATGGAGATGAATAAGTGAATTTTGCTTAAGTGTTTAAATTGTCCTTTTTAGAAGTTAGATAAATGAGTTCATTTTGAAAGTAATCGCATTTTCAAAATAAAAATATTTTTTAAATTACAGCTAATCGACTAATAATACTTACATTTGAAAAAGTGCCATTCAACCTTTTTAAATTTACTTTACTTCTGAGAGGAGAGCACAGACATTCTACTTTAGCGGACTCTCAGGAGAGCCAGAAGTGGCTTCCTCTCCCTCTGGCCAGTTTTTTCTAACAAGGGTACAGGAGCAGCTCTTGTTGGCCTCTAATCTTTACATGACCTCCCTAATTACCCATCTTCAGTGCCCACTTCTGTGCAAGCCCCAGGCCCGCTCCACCTTTGGCACCTTCTTATAGTTAATGCAGAACATTTAATTCTTACATTTAGTGTGGAATATTCAATTTTTTGCTCCCATTTATTTTAATGACAAATTAGAAAACATTACTAGACTACAGCCCCAACTCCAGTTACCACAGGATTAGTGGAGGCCTGATTTATTTGATACTTTGACAGCACAGGTGGGGTATCAGGGTCACGTGTTTTTCCTATTCTACAGAAGATGCAAAGAATTTGCCACATCTTGATTTCCTACAACTCACTGGTCGCTCTTGTAAAGATCCACCTGCCTCAGTAACCGGGGAGAGAAAACAAGCTTAAACCCCTTAATTTACAGAATCACAGCTAATTTCCAGTTTAGCGTCTGAGATGATCGAGACTTTCAGGATAAACGTGCAATCCCTTGGGTTCCCTTCCCCCACTCCTGCTTCATGACAAAATGGCGTCTGTAATGGAGCTTATCTGATCTCACAGGAGGGGAGGAAACTTGGAGTGCAGATGAGAACCAGAAGCTCTGGATCCTTACCAAATGCTCCTTAGATTGCTCCCTGGAAAGCAGACCCAAGCAGGAGGACTGGCTCCTCTAGTTCTGTGACCTTCACGATCATATGCCACATCAGTGTCCCCAGGTCTGGCACTGACCTCAGTCATAAAGTTCTGCATATGGGTGCCTCTGCCTTCAGACTGTAGGTCTGCAGATGTCCTTCAGTGTCCATCACAGGTTGTCCTGAGATTTGAGGAGCCAGGAGCACCTGTGGTTCAAATATCCAGCCATTGCCTTCTCTCTGTTCATGGAAGCTGAGAGCCACTAGTGTCCTATAGCCTGCTCGTGCAAATAGTTGTAATATTTTCAGGACTTTTCAATTAGTAAATACAACTATTATTGAAACTTACAATTAAGTTAATTATATCGGAGAGATAATAAATACTCTAAGCATTCTATTATATCTTGTTATTTAAATTCCTGAGGGTTTCCATAACTATTTGACCTACACAGAGGAAACATTCAGTACTGAGAAGCTATTGCGAATCTCTTCCCATCTCCATGTGCAGGGGCTTCATACAGGTAGCCGTAAATTAGCCATGGCGGGAGTATCTACAACAGGGAACTCGGTAAAGACAGAAGGGTGAAGATTTAGGAAGAAGATAGTAGTAATGGTCACAAAACAAGCTAATGTACTCAATGCCCCTGACCTGTACACTTAAAATGGCTAAGCTGGTAAATCTTATGTGCATTTTACCATGATTTAAATTTTCTTTTCTACAAACTCCTAGCTATAACATTTTGCAGCACACCACTGTTTCCAACTCAGTCATCATTAACCCATCCAATGTGTTCAGGCTTTTCACTCTACCCACAAAGAAGGGAACGTGAACAAGTGTTTCCCCGTGCTCTAACCACCACTCTCCCACCATCCACCATGCAGTAAAACCAGCAGGTACTAGGTTTTTACTCTTTTTCCAGTACAAAGGCTCCCCTCTACATGTTGTCCTCTTTGGGGATGATGAGCTTCATAAGTGGTAGAAGGGCTGCCCATTTTTTATCAATGAAGAAACTACAAATAGTATTCAATATGAGTCACAGAATGACCTGACACTAGGTATACCAATATCAAAATTCATTGAATTAGTTAGATACAGTGCCAAAACTCTGTAAGTTCAGCTTCTTGGGAAGCTGAGGCAGGAGGATCAAAAGTCAGAGACCAGACTGGGCAATTTACCAAACCATCTCAATTAAAAAAAAAAAATGCTGAGAATGTAGCTTAGTGATAGAGTACTTACCTGGTGTGCACTAGGTCCTGGTGCAAATCCACAAAAAATAATAATAATTGTATTAATGTTTCAAAATATTACCTGATTCCATGGGTTTTACAATTAAGATTATTCAGAACTAAGTATTAAGAGAGTATATGAAGAAACTGAATCCTTTCTCCACTGTGTGATGAGACTATAAAATGATACAGATGTCATGGAAAATAATATAATAGTAACTAAAAAATTCAAAATAGAATTACCATATCATCAAAGCATTCTTTGTATATATCCAAAAGAATTAAAAGCAGGGTCTCAGAGACATATTTGCACACCCATGCCGCAGCAGCATTATCTATAATAGCTAAACATGGACACAGGCCAAGTGCTCATCACTAGACAAATGGGCAGGCAAACAGTGTTAAACACATATAATGGAATATTCCAAATTAAAAAGGAAGGAGGCTTGGGCAGCACAGTAACCTTTCAGGGCATTACACTGTGTAAAATAAACCAGTGACTAAAGACAATGCCATGTGATTCTACGAATGGGTGGTACTTAGTCAAAAATCTGGAGACAAATAAATAGAATGTGGTTGTCAAAGATTATGGGAGGGGAACTGAGGGTTTATTGTATAAGTGGCACAGAGTTTCACTTTTGCAAGATGAAGAGCTCATAAGACAATGGTAGCAACAGTCACAAAATAGTGGCAGTGTATTTTACACCGCTGACCTCTGCATCTAAAAATGGCAAGATGGTAAGGCTATGTGCACTTTACACAGTTTCTAAAAATGGAGAAAAAACTAAAAGTTTGTTTAGCATATCAACTTGCTTTACAGGCATCTTCTCAGGCCATAACCCAAAATTACTTTAAAAATTAAATATTCTGCCAGCAATTTAAAGGATTCCTACATCCCAAACATTAAATTGGCAACTTTTCCACATTTCTTCCCAACTACCAACAGCTCACCGGCTAGCAAACACTCATTCCTGTACCAAACTCCCGTTTTCCCTGGCCACACGCCCTGCTTCCCACTCCAGTGGACCGGTCCTTCCATTCCCGGTCAGTCCAAGGCAGCACAGCACTGGACGGAGCAGCTCAGAGGAAGAAGCTTCATGGCCCCATTTCTAAGACCTGAAAATTCACACTCTCTAAACATATATATATGTATATATATTATATATGATTTGTATATGATTTATATATGTCTGCGTGGCAAAGTTGCCAATTTAACATTTGGGATATAAGAATCCTTTACATTTCTCATGGAATATTTCAATTTTAAAATAATTTTGAGTTATGGCCTGAGACACTATCCCTAAAGTGCAAGCCCACTACTTATCCATCACAGCCATTTTGAGTAATTTCAGGAAGAAATGAACCTTCTGTTGGTCAATTAATTCAATAAGTTCTGTGGTAGGCTTTCTTTCAGAGAAGGGAAGTACAAATGATTTGTGACTCTAATTAACTTCAAACACAGAAACAGGAATGCAATTTGGAACAGAATCCACAAAGGAAACAGCCCTTCCAAATTCAATTCTGGTGGCTGGGAGACTGTGATTGCGTTTCCTTCAATCACGGACACTCCTCCCAGGATGGGGTGGGGGGAACGCAGAGGGTTTCCTGGCAGCGGGGTTTCCCTGTTATACGAAACTTTGTTTCCAAAATATCGCCTCTAGTGGACTGGGATTCAACCGTGTTTCCTACTTCCTCGCCAAACCTTGTCTATAAGAAGATGGAAGTGGCGCTAACCAGCTTTGGAAAGGGATCATTACACAGCAAGCCGAGAGCCTGAGGCCCAGCAGAGCAAAGTGCCTTTGCCTTACCTGGTCTCTCGCCTCTGAGTGCTTACTCTATTGCAAACAAAGTTTGGAGCTCCTCAATAAGAAAACCTTCAAATGCCTTAACAGCGAACTCCCCTTGGAGGAACAAACCCAGAGTCTAAACTCACCTCTAGCAGGATGTGAACAAGGGATGCCATAGCTCGTCTGAGAACATATGCCTCCTAAGCCATAAGCACCTTCAGACCACCATGTTAAGTGAAGTAAATCAAACACACAAGCTTAAACATCTCTTTTTGACAAACCATAAATATAAATAAAGAGCAAAATAGAAGATGAGAAACAAGAAATAGGGAGCTAGATCTTTGGCAAATAGGAAAGAGACTGAAAGATAGGAGAGGGAAAAGAGGGTGGAGAGGAGAATGGGATTTAAAAAAAAAAGTAAAGACATGTTACATACCTGTACCGACTCTCCACAAGGAATGTAATCATCAGGTACTGTAAACATGTATGAATAAAAAATACAAGTTGAAAAGAACAAGAAAGAAAAAGATTATGAGGTCCCTGGGTACCTCAGCGGTAGGGGAATGAATCCAGAGAGAGGAAGGGTGTGAAAAGCAGAGGCCGGAGTACTGTCACACTCTTGGATTCATTTGCTTTCTACCCTTGGCCGGATCTAGATCTAAACAGATTAAGGACTGGAGGACACCGTATACCTGCTTGGACATGAAGTCCCCAAGGGCCCTTCTCAGGGGAGAAGTAGCTGGTGGATGCATAGAACCTTGCACTGTGGAAGACTGGACTCGGACCTCCATTCTTGGCTAAACAAAAGCAAGACCATTCTCCTGTTTCCCCAGCCCTAGGGAAGAAGTTGGCCCACGGTTTCTAACTTCCCAGGTCACTACGAGACGGACAGTGTACATATGCCTCTAGGTTACCCCTGAATCGCAGAATCTGGGCCATAATTTAGCATGCAAAAGGTATTCAGTAAATATTTCTTGAAGGGACAAATGAATAGAAGTTTTCCTTCATCATCTGGAGGCCTTTACTGTGTCTTTGCTAAATTAAGAACAATTTCAATCACTACTTTAACACTCAACAGTTCACTTCTCTGTCAGATGGCAGATCCTCTGACTCACTTTTAGAAGTTGATCCTAAGAAAATAAAGAGTCAGGGGCTGGGGATTTAGCTCAGTGGCATAAGCGCCTGC